CCGCATCGGTTCTGTGCTGACGCGAACCACTTTTTCAGGTTTCTGACGGTTCCAAAAAGAACCGGTTAAATCTGCTAACTGTAACTACTGTTACATGTTACACGTTTGGAACAATGTTATTTTAGCGGTTACGTTAAATACCGACCATCCCTACTCGTTAGTGATTTATGATAATTTAGATGAATTGCATTAGTTAAATCCCCATTCAGTTGCGAGTAAAAATGCTGCACTGAACCGAACTGCCATACAAACCAGGTTTTAATCAATTTTATTCGTCTATATAAAAATGGTGACGAGGCTACAAAGTCCATCAACTTAACCGCTAACATTACCTATTCGTACAAACTCTACATCTACTTAAACAGTGACATTAAAGAAAAATTGGTTCAGTTTATTAGTGTTTTTCATTCCCCAATTTTCAGTCTTTTTCATCGACACTTTATGTACATTTTCTTCGAAGCTTTTTTCCGGTTACAATCCAATTCAAAGGGCACTTTAGTGCCAAATCAAATGAAACGGTGCGGGTTGAGTGTAACAACGCTAATAATAAGTTAGAAGCAGTGGTTTAAAAATGTGAGGAATACAATTTGGAACAACGCGCCCAATATGGGCTAAACAATAAAGAAGCAATAAATAAACAGGGCACTAATTCCGTAAATAAATGTTCGACAACTTGTAGTAATACAGCAAGCAACATACTAGAAGGACTAAAATTAACGGTGATTTATCTGGGCAGCTTTTGGCTGCTTCTAAGCCTCACTTTGGATCGATTTAAATTATCTTATGTTCGAGGTTCTCTATCCTTTTGAGATTTTCGATGACAGCATTGTGCTCGTCCAGCAGTTTCCAGAACTCGTGCTTCCGGTGTTCGGCTTCTTCCTGCAAAAAACCGTAATTTTTATGTCTCGATTGCACTTCCAACAGTTTATTTTGATCCACGATTGGCATCTGATGGAAATTGGCGCGTTGGTATGCATAATGAGTGCCGATTTATTTAGCTCCTGGCCTTGGCCAATATTTTTTAAATAGCCTTTAATGCTCGATGGATCGCTGACTCATCAACGGTTAAATCATAGACTTAAGTGATTTTTTGGATTTCTGGATTTTCAATCCAATTGCCAACAAATGCTCAAATTTGCTGTTGAACAGAAGAAGAAAGCTGAGCAGTCACAAAAAAACAGCTTGAATGAAATTGTACTTCAATTTAACTTACAATTTTAAAGAGTTGCCAAAAATCAAGCAAAAAAGCATTTAAAGTGACACTTTCCTGCTTATTCAAGCAATGTTTTCTCAATTCAATGCCTTAGAAAGCAGAAGCTTAACGTTTTAGAATTTTGATTGATCAATTTTTGAGAAACAAGTTGCTAAATGTGTTAAAGCCAAATTTCGACTTGAAACCGAAAATTTTAAAAAGTTGAAGAAATTTGTGAATTGAGTGAATTAATTATGGGAAAGCGAAATATTTCTCTATAAAACGTTGTCAAATGCAATGCAAAGTTAAATGACTGT